CCCTTTCTTTTGCCCAGCTCAGGGCTGGGTGCCCTCTGTGCCCCGAATCAGGGCTCAGGGAGCTTTCCTGAGTTTCCTCACATTTATTTTCCTTTTCAGACCTGTGGCTGGCGGGTGTTTCTCGTGGTCAGTGCCAGCAGTGATGTTTGCTGCCTTTCAGACTCGCCGCGTTTCCCTCCTTCTGCCCACTGATAACAATCTTAGATATGTTTGTGTGTTTATTAGATAAAGCTTTAATATTTACTAATCTCCCCTCACCATGCCTGTGTTGTGGCTGCTGGCTAACCCTGAGCTGGGGGGCTGTTGATTATTGGGTGATTCCACCCAAATGCTGAAATTCACCTTTTTTAGGCTCACCTGTGCCCCTGGCTCCCTGCCAGGGCTGCCTCCCACCCCACTCCATTGTCTTGGATGAGTCAGGCTGCCAGTGGAACATGCCAGGATTGCCTTTCCAGCCTTTGGGCCTTGCTGATAGCAGTGGGAAGGAATTAAGGCTTAATCCACCCCCAGTTTGGGTTTGGGGTGCAGAATTGGGCCTTTTCCTAGGGATTTTGGCTGTGTTTTTACCTTAGAGCTGGCAGAGGATCTGCTCCTGCAGGGCAGTAAAAGGAGAACAAAGAACAAGAGAGGAAAAAAAAAAAGGGGAGGGGGGGAAGGAAATGGCATCTGGCACTTGCAGGGGGAGGAGGAATAAGGAGGAAAATTATTTATTTGCAAATTCAAATGGGGAGCAGAGGCACCGCAGGGTTATGAATAAATCTTTCTGTTCAGTGTACATTAGCCATCAATTGACCTTTCAGAGAAATTGCAGCTCTGCAATCGCTGCTCCTCCCTGCCCTGTGCCCTGCTCCTGGCGTGGATCTGTCCATCCTTCCTTCCTCACCCTCCAGGTTGATGCCAAGTGCTGTTCCATGGGGAAAGCCCTAAACCTCTGCCAGGGCACCCAGGGCAGGTTTTTGACATGTATCAGGAAATTGGATAACCCAGATTTTAGGTGTTTATCTCCAAGAATCTTCCCTGTATTGGGATCCACCTCAGAATTCCAGTTGGCCTCGTGGAATACATTTGAGGCTGTGCAATAAACAGGTTTTCCAGGGGTTGAATTCCTGGGGATGTGTTTCAGCCTGAGCACAGGCCTGGCTGTGCAGCACCTCAGGGCCAGCAGGATCTGAGATTTGGGGCCAGCCCCAGGATTGAGCTTTGAGATTTCCCTGAACTCCTGGAATTCCGAGCGCCTTTGGAGCCTTCGGACAATGAGGAATAGGCTCTTTAATAGTGTTGGCAAAAGCTCCTTACAAGCGTTGCATTGTTCCAATTGCACTTTAGAAGGTGCTAAGTGTCAGCGGGGCCCTTGGATTGATATGAATTTAATATCAGAAATCACTTTAATGGCTGTGCTACAGAACTGCTGCTCAGCACATGCTTTCCCTTGGAGTGGCACTTGAGGGCTGAGCAGCGTTAGTCCTGACAGCCCTCGTGTGCTGGGGAAAATGGGGTCTGCTCCTGCCTTGCAGTGGCAGGAAAATCAACAATAACCACGAGAGCAACCCAGGGAAATGCTCCACAACACAACCAAACTGAGCAGGGAATTCCTGGCTGTGGTGGCTTTATGGAATTCCTCAGATCTGGACCCAAATGTCACCTTTAGTGTCAAATATTCCCTGAGTGCAGCTGCTTCTCACGGATTTCTGCTGAGGATCTGAGCTGTAAATAAGCAGGGGAGGGCAGCCTGAGGAAGCACCAGCACAGTGTGACCATTTAAGGGGTTTTGGTGTGGGATATTTTGTTGGCTTGGAGGCTTTTTGCAGTATTCCCACTGAGATTTTAGTTTCATTCTTCTCTAAAGAAATTTGTGACTGAGGCTGGGTCCCTCAGAACTGAAAACACTGAAAGCACTTCCTTAACTTCACAAGTGTGTGCCATTAATTTTGTTTCCATTCCCCTGAGGTGTTTCCTGGAGCTTTTTGCTGTGTTTTTTCCCAGCCAGTTCAGTTGATAAGGGCTCCCTCAGGACCCTGCCATCCACCCCTGGCTCCCAAGAAATCCAGGAGTGTTCCTGGATTGGGTGAGAACTGCACAAGTTCACTCATTTCCAATGTCTGCTGGCACCCAGCTCTTTCCCTGGGAATTTGGGGTTTGGTTTCTTCCCCAAAGCTCTGAGCAAGTTCCCAAAAAAGCCCCGAGCAGGGCAGAAACTGGACCCTGCCTGGCACCGGTGCCAGCCTTGGCACCTCCCACTGAACATTCCAGGGCAAAGTTCTGCTGCTCGTGCTGCCAGGGTGGCACAGGAGGGAAAACAAGTCGCTAAAAGGACAATTTACATTTGATTTAAATGAGAAACAAATGTTTTTAACCCCCTTTTTTTTTTTGTAACCTAATAGAGTGCAGCAAGGTATTGGGGAGCTGGAGTGACCCAGCTGGGGTGGTGGCTTTGGGGAAAAGGGGTTTTGCTGCTTTTTTGGAGGAATGGATTGGGCTGATGCCTCAAGTGTTGCTTGGGTATGAGCTCAGAGTGTTTTCAAGCCCTGTTGCCAAGAAGGATCATCAGTGGTTCAAACTGCAGGACTCAGAACATGGGAATGTGGCTCAGAAATAATTAAAAATAGAAGTTAGGCTGCTCTCAGGCCTCACGTGCTTCCATTTTTCTGGGGTTGGTTTGTTTGTTTTTAAGGGATCCATTTGCCTTCATAGAAATGTTTTCCAGTCTACCACTGATAACTCAGTATCCAAACAATCCTTAAATTGCTGTAGGCTTAAAATGCATCTCAGTTTATTGGTGTTGCAGTGTGTGTTAAATGAGGGAACATCTGCAGCCTGCTGAGGAGGGGAACACGAAATTCCTGAGCTCCAGGGGCAGGAGGGCACTGGGAAAGGAATATTCCAGCTGGGAGAGGTTTCCTGTGGGAGAATGCAGAGGGACATGGTGGGTATTGGGGAAAACAAATGCACTTCAGTGTGAGCTTCATTACACCAGGCCTGCTGTAATAGGATAATCAAATAAACCAAAAAAACAAACCTAAACTTGTTTTATAAAATTATTTTGGCTGGTATTTTCTTCTATATTGTCCTTAGTTTTAATACTGAATATTTTAATTAAAAAAAAAAAGAAGAAGAAAGTCAGTTTGGCTGTTGGAAATCCTGATCTGAAATTTCCTTTTTTCTTTCCCCCAGCACCTTCCTGTACCTGAAGTTCCTGGTGGTGTGGGCCCTGGTGCTGCTGGCAGATTTTGTGCTGGAGTTCAGGTTTGAGTACCTGTGGCCCTTCTGGCTCTTCATCAGGAGCGTTTACGA